TTATACACGTCCGTGACTGCACCCTTGAATTTTTGTTCACAGCGCCCTCAACTGGCACTTTCCAACGTACATGTGCAGCTGCATAACGATGGGAGACAGTAGAGTTCGGGAGGGAAATCGGCCGGAAAAAGTGCTTTTCACCATACCATCTGCAAAAGAAATCGCCAGGTTAGAGCATGGAAAATCGAAGGTAATGTTAGAAAATTGTTAGGGCAAGCTGACCACGTGTACTAGGCCTATGTACATGTAGGTCTCCATGTATATACATGTAGCTACACTTTTGTAATGTACATGTACATTGCAATGTACAGTATGTACATGCTTGGTACATGCAATGATGCATGGAGGGAGTTCCTTCTACATGTACCTTCATGCTCCATCCATGTGGCCTACACACATGACACAGGGTGTTGGTCACATTGCCCCATTTCCACTTTGCCCCTAACCACTTCGCCACTTCACTCCATTCCCACTTCGCTCCATTTCTAAATTCTAGTTATTTTTATGTTACTTGGCCCCATTTCCACTTCGTCCCAACGATTATCATTCAGGCCTGTGCCCTATTCTGTTCTTTAATAACAGAGGCATAGGGTAAGTGTGGGTATACCCGAACGGTGGGAGAACCCGATCAGCCGTGATTTATTTTCATATAATAGGGCCTACAGACTGTGACGTGAATGAAATAAATAGAGTGTACATGTAGGCCCTACTATATGAAAAAAAATCACGGCTGATCGGGTTCTCCCCCGATCGGGTATACCCACACTTACCCTACATGTAGGCCCAGGTGGAACAAATGAAAACATCATCGTTAGAGCAATCAAATAACGCTGGGAGAATCCAACTTGCAAAGGCCAAATCAATGCTTTCGATTTCCTGACCGACCCTAATTTTTTGGCGAGACCCTAACGTGGCAAGTTTGAAGAAACAAAGTTAATAAATACACTGGACAACAAAAGAAATTTGCCCCCTCTGTCAAAGGCCACACATTTGCACCTACAAATTCACTCCAAAGAAATAAACAATTTTTGTACACAGGTATGCTGCAGTACCCCTTACTAGTCACATGCCCAAAAGCAAGTGATTATCTTTATAACAAAGATGAAATTGACATGCACAGCAACTTGGTCTTCTTTCTGAGTTCAAATTTTCCAAGAGTTATGACCATCTCATTAGACCTCGCAGACAAATCATATCTTGTCACGTGGTTTCAGGTAATGAAAACCTAATTACAGATGTTCATGTGCAAACTAAATCGTCACGCAGGCTATTTATCGCGACTGTTTATGCCCTGCGGTTAGACGCATTTGCCCCAAAATAATTCAACATTTATATAACTGCAGAGCCAAAGTGTTACCTCATTAAAACAGACTTCAGAAAGAGTACCGTATACGAACAACACTAATTTTAACTTAACATGTTACAACAGCCATCAGGAAATACATAAAAAAAAGGGAAATTTAGTAAAGAAAATTCCAAAGCAGTACTTAAAAAACACTTCACACAAGTCTTACAGGGGCATCAACTGTTGTCTGTTTATATGGAACTCTTTCCCAGGCTTCTATGGGATGCCCCCAACGACTTCATTTTCAGTTTGCCTGATATGAAGGAGGACTTTAGCTGATGAAAGTTACATGTATTTACGTTTTACCTTTTACTGTTTAGGTCTAAATTTCATAAAAATTGAAATTGTGAATTTTACCAATGTGATTGATCTTGAAATGAAAAATAGTAGTCTTCCAAAATGATGTACTGATCTCTCCATCTCACCAACCGGTATTCTATGCAGAGATCATCAAAACAACCTTTTAGCATGTTTAGTAGAAAGTTGTGTACTTAACATGTACATGTACATGTACCTCAATCGTTAAGGAAGATTTGTTATTTAATAAAACAATTTACCTGTACATGTATCACGTCATTTTGGAAACTCGAAAAACTGTATACCAAGTAACTACATACATGTATATGTCCATTGTATGGAGTGAAACCACCCATCCTCTGATGCCCAAGGACATGTTCAGAAAGGAAATAGCAAAGAATTATGCTCACTAATTTTGAAATATGTTATGCTAAAAGTACAAATGCATGTACATGTATTTATAAGCCTTTCCCCATGTTCCCCAACTGTTTGTGTATAAGAGCAATTATATACACTGTGAATTCCAGACTTCCAAGTTTTTCTCTGAGGTCTGTTCTTACATGGGTATCCTGGAATTGAAGTGATGCAGATATGGGCGGGCGGAGGGAATTGTGAGACTATCAGATGTCAGCTATTAATAAACCAATCCATTAAGCCCCCTTCACCCCCACACATTATCAGACGTGCCAAAACACCCAGTTGCAAAATATAGCCCTCTGCTCCATTGACAGTAGGCTTGGTCATGATGGTGGATTTCTGCTTCTGTTTCTGTGCTGTACACAGTACCCTCATCAATGAGTTCGAGTGGAGTCAACAAACTGACAAAATTAAATTTTAAAAACAGCCTGTTGAACTAACTTCTGTGACCATACATGGACATGTAGTTCCCTTATTTCACCACTTACATACATGTACTGTGAAAACCAGACTTGACAATACATGTTAGTGGGGAAATAAGAGACCTGGTGACTAAACGGTTGCAAACGTTAGATTTTCAGCATCCACAGCATCCAAGGCTGACTTAAGCCTTATATACATGTACATGTAGCTGAGAAGGCTATAAATTGTCCTGATATCTTCTGAAGAGACTCCGTTCTGGAATTGCTCTTGGGTAGAGGGAATACTGTACATGTACTTGACACGAGCCTCGTTGGAAGCAAGTCGCTTGAATGAATGTTGGCCACACAGCCTATGGGATTGGTCAGAACTGTAGCACCGGTACCTAGACTGGTCATTGTTGTTCGGTATGAAGCCATGTGATTCCTCATAAATCATGACGAGTCTGGCTTTGATAAATGTACATGGAGGTCTTTCCTGAAGTGTATCCCATTCCTGAGGTTGAGCCAACAAAGATGCACTGGTCGCAGGGCTAATGTTTATAGCCATTATCAAAGCGTGCTGCTGTCCTTTGAGTTTGAAATCAAAACCTGTAACCAGCAGCATTTTCATTGAAGAAACTTTAGCATTGACTTGATAAAGAACTGGATATTTTAGACCACTTTGACGATCCTTGACTTTACAGTACATGTACATTTCGTGCCAAGAAGTACATGTACATGTATTGTGATATTAAGTTTGATTATGAAAATTAATCAAAATCACCATGGGCTCCTTGAATTGCATTTTGGTTTGCACACAATGTTGTTGTTTATCCTTTGATAGAGAATGAATACTGGGTAGAATCATTTATTTAGTTATTCCGTTTCACATGCAGGTTAAGTCCTACTTCAGAAGCCACTTTGGGAACCGTCTTTCAGCTTCACAGTCCAGGGGCCAAGGACCCTCAACTGAGCAGACCAGCTCAAGAACAGTCCCTCCCTCAACAGAAAATCTGCCCAGTTCCAAAGCAGCATCTGCTGAAGCCAATACTACAGTCACAGGCTCTACCGGCTCAACGCCACATGGCAATATTGAAGTCAATGGCAGGACTGTCAGCGCGTCTGTTGATGGTGACCCCAAGGTCAACAGTTCATCTGCATCTGTAGGTATGGATCCAAGTACCTGCGGCATGCGCGGTGAGGCAGGCATGGCAGGTGGCAACATCGGCCGTGGTGCCAAAAGGAAAATAGGGTCCGCCTTTGCCGACAAGTTCTCCGCGTTGAGGGACGAGTCCGACTATGAGGAACCAATGGCCAAGAGGTGAGCACGGGGTCCATCCTTTAAACCTCCTGCCTCATAACTTGCTTTAGCTTCATGCTCTAAATGGATTTTTTTTGTGCCCACGGAAACTGAAGATCAATAAATGTCTGCTTCAGTAATGTCACCAATTCCCGCAATTCAAATGAGGCAGTCAGTTTGGATCAGTCATTGACAGCTGACAAACACATCTGAAACCAGAATGAAATCTAATGAATTAATGTGAGACATTAAAGATGAAGTTTGAGAAATGATTCTCTTTATAACTTGATCTACAGTCATTTGCAAAAGATCAAATCGCCTGGAATTTTACTGGTATTTCTGTCACTGGGCCTGCACTACATTGTCTTATTGGATGATTACTTCATGTTTTTGCAGTGTTGCATAACATGAGTGTAGTGCTATACCCATTTGAATGAAATCTTTTGCGCAAACGGGTCTTGTACGACATTTTGTCTGTAGGGCAGCGTGGGTAAAAACATCCAGTGTACATGTAAGTGATCAGAAATAAAGGAGGGCACACTAAGTACCATATTAGACTGTTAACATTTCAAATCATGGAAATGCAGTCAAATAGTAGCTACATGTATTTAACCAAGATACTAAGGTTACACATCAAAGATAAACATAAGTTGCCACGATTGATTGATTTAAGTTGGTTTTTCTTTAGATTTAATGCATTTGATATTGGTGGTCCTAAACTTTTGCAAGTGACAGTACTTGAGGGATGCATGCTATTCTCTGCATGATTGGATCTCCAGAAGAATCTTTGCAACTAACTTCAGACAAGTTAAACCCTCCATTTGTGCCGACTGTTACATGTAACTGCATGGGGGCTTTGGAATGAATTTTCAAGTGATTGTCTTAAATTGAAACTAACAAACTCGTGGCCTCATTCAGAAGGGTAATGATGTGCATATATACAAAGCATGCCAATGAGCACTGACATGCACCCAAGCCAGCATCTCTCCCATTTTTTGGTCTATTCTATCTGCAGACCTGCTGTATCCACTGCAGTAGTTGCCGCACCCATCACGACAGCTGCTAAGGCACCGTCTGGAACGAACACCATTATAGTCAACACAAGACAGGTACGTACAGTATGTACTTGGTCACAGGGAAGTTTTAAGGAGTGACCGTGTCAAATTAAGAAGCCACTTGACCACTGGTTGCGATGGGGGGGGGAGGAGGCCAGTGGCCCACTCCCTCTAAACTGACTTTGTGGAGGGCATGTGCTTAGAGAATCCGTCTGATAATGGCTGATGCCTCGTCTCACAGCTGTCTCCCCACTTTCCGCGGCTGTTACCCTCAGCATTAAGACATACATGCTAACTGCATGTACCTTAGAGACACCAAGATGTGGAATGTATTCTTCAGCATTCCAAAGGGATGCGTAAGTCTCGGAGTAAGTGTGGGGTTTTCAACATGGAGAATTCATCTCTCTTTTCATGAAGAGACAGACCTGTCTGTGTTGTGTAAAGTTCAACTTTTGATCTGCTATAAAACATGAAAAATTGTAGTGGCCAAATGTTTAGTTAAAATTCAGATATGTTACAAAATCTAAAATATGTTCATTTGTGAAAACTCACATGATAGGGAAACAGTATCAGCAATACCTTCCAAAGGGAGCCTTTTTATGTGCATAGTGAGCCTATTTTACAGCATGTTGATCAGGATGAATCATGCTTTGTTCCGTTTGCTAGGTCACTTACATGTACAACCAACACTGCCACACTGTAGGTTTCCAACCACACTCTTACTCATACTGTCATCAATTTCATATTTGCTTCTGTTGTGTGTCTTTATTCCCAGCGAGGCAATCCCATTCTCAAGCACATCCGGAATGTGCCCTGGGAGTATGGTGACATTGTCCCTGACTACGTCATGGGCAGAACTGCCTGTACGCTCTTTTTGAGGTGAGATATTGCCAGAGTTAACCATTGATAGCTGCTGTGATATGCGATATGGAATTTTTCACACCAGTGGCAAATCTGAGGGTTCTGTGGAGTCCTAAAGTGTAAAAGCGAGGCATGTTACACATCACCACCATCAACAGCTCCTCAGTATTTAAACACAAAGTCACAAATTTATGAAGCAGTTGAGAGATACAAACTGAATCAAAGGTTTATTTTTTGATTGCTGTACAATGTAAGTTCTCCTGTCAGACGTACATGTACATGTGTGCGTACTGTACGCACCGGTAAGAGATTGCTGAGATATTACATCCGTGTACATACAGTTTATAGAGGCTTTTCATGTGATGTAACAGGACTGGCAAAGGTACTGTACATGTATTTCAGGAAGCATACATGTACATGTACCATGTCCATGGAAGCATTTGCATTTTCGAATCTGTGTATTTCTATTGCCGATTTTCATGTTTGCCAGAATGGTCAGAGACTTCGAAGGTGCATGCGTTTCTGCTCACATCCATGTAAATTGAATGCTGGCCATCAAAAGTCACATGACTGGCAATGCTCTATACAGTACATAGGCCATGAAAATAATCTTTACATACATGTATGTATTGGTAGTTATCATGGTTATAGCATACTGTGAATGTTTCCCTTGCAGGACCTTGGTAGTGCATGGTAAGAAAGGAAAGTGAGATTTGCGTAATAGAGTTGTCATCTTGCAGCTCTAAACGTCAAGATTTCAGTGTACATGACATACATGTACAGTACATGTGGAATCTTGTTGGATTTGGTGTGCATGGTTAGGGTTAAATTTAACCCTAAAGTGGTCAAGGATTTTGGCATTTCCAGTGGGCATCCTTTTGTCCAAGGAAATGCTCCTGCACTTCTACAAGTTTGCTGCACTTCACAATTCTGTTTTCAAATATCTCTGAGTTAACCCATGGATCGAGTGTACTTGTATTGTCATGGAAGACTATACTTTCGGTGATTTGCAATTACATGTACATTGATTCGGGAGATAAAATTTGGTTTCGTTCTCTCAAATTCTGTTCTGCCCTTACAGCCTGAGGTATCACCATCTCAACCCAAACTACATCCATGACAGACTGAAGGACCTGGGTCATCATTATGAACTGCGGGTGCTGTTGGTACAGGTCGATGTGGTGAGTCATGCATCCACTGCCATAAACTTACGCCTCTGCACTCCCTGTAGGATTATTTCCAAAAGTGTTATTCGTTTTTATCACTTTTTTTTAGATCTATGCGTGTTCTTACCTATCCAAAAATACATCTACATACCACGTACCGATGCTTTGGTTGAAAAATTATAACAAGACCACATTTGAATTAGGCACTCCACACTCTGCACAGGCCAGAGGGCCAGTCCACAAGGAAATGGGTCCAAGTATAATGTACACCAGAAACTGGACAGAATTTTCTCCCAGAAAGTCCATTACTGTCACAGTGTGAGCAGTATAGAAGGAATGAGCCTTTTGCAAGTTAAATTGTAATAATATCTGGTACACTGTGCTATCTTATTGCTCATAAACCTAACAATTTGAATTCCCCAGACTGAAGACACTGTTGCTATACCATGTGATCCGGGGTAAGCTTTTGCATTGCGACCACTGTCTCTGGAATGGACTGGTTCCTTTCCCTTCTTATCCATTGAAAAATGTGTATTGGTGCAAGGCGTCTCTTGTGTAACCAAGCAAAAGCTTGCTCCGAATCATGAGGTGTAGCAACAGTGTCTTTAGTATAGAAAATTCAAATTGTTATGTTCACGTGAATTTAAAGAACTCAGTGTACCAGATTTTATTCAAATTTTACTTGCAAATGGCTTATTAAAGAAAGTGACTTGATGAACACAACAATGAAACTCCCCCAGTGCCGGCTTGTATCAGTGTGTGCGCATTGGACTATGAGCAAAATTTTGCTGCCGTAGATGAATTGGGGCGTGCAGAGCACCTCATCAAGTAGAACTTTCTTTTCCCCTTGTCTGTTCGTTGTCTGTTCAGAAAGATCCCCACCATTCAGTGAAGGAACTGGCTCGCATGGCCTTAATGGCAGACTGCACTCTCATTCTAGCGTGGAGGTACGTAAGTTTCGCAGCTGTCACATGTTTTACCTGAATTGAAGAATAATGTCACTTACATGTAGTGTAATTCAACAACCAGACCTAGGAGCCATTGTTGCGGTGGCACAACACTTGTGGACAGGTGGTACACGCCTGTCACATGCCTCTATGACCAGTTGGCTTCTTTGCCAAATGCATGTGCCCATCAAGCTGAAGAATGTGCATGTGAGTGCTGTGCCATTGCAATTGTGGCGTCTTATGGGATTAGTCTATACTGAATCCCATTTAAACCTAACCCCTACATGTATTGGTACAGCCACTTGGGAGATGGAGATCCACTCCCTAACATCTGACTTAAGGAATGGGTTTTCAGTGTTTCGTGATGCCGTGAAGGGAACCTTTTTGCCTTTTGCCAACAAAAACTGTATTATTTCATTTCAAAATGCGTGCAACATTTTTTTTTTTCATGTTCTGGGCAATATCATGCAAGCTGCCTTCTTGTGACATCACAGGATTAACGTGCCTGTGATAATGTCTTAACCACTTGTTGCCAGGTTCAATTAAAATGGTTTTGCACACATACAGGCGTTTTTCAAGATTTTCCGTTTTCAAAATTCTTCAAAAATTCATTACTTTGTTTACTGGACTTTTACACCCACACGAATGACTGTCTAGTGGCTACTCTAATGTGACAGGCAACGTCTATTGATGCCCGAGTATTGCAGCCAGGCAAAAAGAGCCCAGATTGTGTGGTGTTACATAAGTTGTAGAGGATCAGGTCCTTAGCTTCACAGTTACATTGACTTAGCCAAATCTGCAGCTGTTCATTTTTGTTTTGTTCTTGTAGCTTGCAGTCAGAAAAAAATTCAATCTCGCATTGAGTTGAAGTATTTTGAAATGCTTTAAAATATGGTGCTTTGGAAAGTTTTCTAAATTTTATACCTTTTGTACTTCGACTCGTGACAAAACATATTTCTCATTTTCATTGGTACAAACTTCATGCACTTCCATGTAGTGGAAAATGTGGTGAAGTTTGAATCCCACAGTGAAAGTCTTAATCTCAGCAAGGGCATTTAGAAGGCATACGAAATTGCATTTGTGCCCATTCACTTGCAGGAAGAAGTTAATAAAGGCGAACATGTATGTATTTTGTGAATGGATATTGGAAAGGAGGGTAAAACGTATACATGTATGTGTACTTAACATTGTTTTGTTCTCTGTGGTTGAATGCAGTGCTGAGGAGGCAGGCAGATACTTGGAAACTTACAAGTCCTATGAGAACAAATCGGCAGATGCCCTAAAGGAGAAGATTGAAACTGATTATCTGTCCAAGGTGACATCAAAATTAACTTTCCTACTCAAGGCTCCCTGGTCATGGAAAAATCCTGAAATTAGTTATCCTGGAAAGTCATAGAAATTTGAGAAAAATAGGGTGTCCTGGAAACCTGATTCGAGAGGAAAACTAGTCATGAAAATCATGATCATGCAAGGGTTTGTTTTTTTTTTGATCGGCGAAATTTGATTAAATGGAACAAAACGTTTCCGGCCCATATCGATGTCAGTCTGTAGTATTGGCTGTTGCAGGTTTCTAGTTCATAATATCAAACAACTATTCTCTGCAACATGGTGTTAAATTTTAGTCCTGGGAAGTCCTGGAAATATCATGGAATGTGGTTTTCAGATTTTTCTTGGGGACTCCATTCCTGCTAAATTGTATCAACCTATCTTTTCCAATCAATGCCCTTTAGGGAATCTGCATGCTATATATGCTTGTTGCATCATGTGGGTACATGGAAATAACCTGTTCAGTATGAAGTTTCAAATCTCTGTAAAGGGGTTATGTATTGCTGGCATCTCCATGGTACCGGTCTCTTAGAGGCTGCTTTTGTTATAACAAGGAATACACAAATAGTTTACTCGAGCCCATCCCAGTGATACAGAACTCTTGCCCTCTCAGGACATGTCAATGCATAACCTCATTTCTTTCTTTCATGACGTAGGTGACAGATGTCCTCGGCACAGTAAAGTCGGTCAACAAGACGGACGCCGTCACACTGATTTCAACGTTTGGGGTAAGTTGTCGACTACGTCCTTAGGAAGTTTTTGCATTATGGGGCTGTCCGGTGGAGTGACCACTGGTCACCGACATGATATGACTGTTCCATGCCGTCAAAGTTCCTTTGTGGAGAAGTCTTCCATACAGGTATTTTTAATACTCTGGTCCAACCTATCACAGCAGGTCAACCTCAACGCCACTTCCATAGGCTGCGCGTGTGTTCCTTTGCTAGCCCTTGGTAGTGTAGAATAAGAAAATGACGCGGACGTAAGGTTCAGAATGAATATAAAACGTAAAGGCAGTCGCACATGTATTTCAAAAACTGCACGCTTACGCCCACGTATTCTCTTAAGCCCACATATTCTCTTAAGCCCACGTATTCTATTACATGTCATGCATGTGTAAATCTGTGACTCGCGTAAACATACTGACTAAACTCCTAATTTGAATATCCCAAATAGTAGGATATTTAAATCATACAATACCAGGGGTTAGACCACTCACAAGGCATGGTGGGAATCAATATGGCGTGGCAAGCCTCATACCCATGGGAACGAGGTTGGGTCAACCTATATGCACTACATGTTGTTTGTGAACTAGGGAAGGACCTGTCCCAGCTGTGGCCACACTGGCAGGACTGCTGAACCTACCGGTAGGAGAGCATCCTTTTTATTAGTTGGGTATTCCGATTCCACAGGGACACGCACTACCACCCAGTCCCCTGCCTTGAAATACTAACAAGGAACTGACTGGAATTTGATACACAATTCAAGAAGCTGATTTCATTTGGATGTTCCCCCCTCCAGACGTTTGACAAGATCCTTGCAGCATCAAAGGAAGATCTCTATCTGTGCCCTGGGTTTGGACCTCAGAAAGTAAGCAACTCTATGAAGGAAAAAAATGTTTGCGATTCCTTTGTTGTTGATGTTACTGTAAGTTAAATTGGCATTGTCTGTTGTCAAGGCACTTTTAGAAAGACACCTTTCGCTATAAAGCCACTTACTGGCTTGAAAATCTTCTGAGTGTTTCAGAGATGCCAACATTTACAATTTAGATGTAATTTTTACAATTTTTTTTCACCAATTATGATTTCACAATCTCTATATCATATTTTATGATATTTTCAAATCGAGGGAATTTTATCAAAAACACATGTCTGGACTCCTGTTACTTCATGTTACATATACCATAAATATGTACTTTGGTATCAGTCTATAGGTTGTGCAAATTTAACATAGGTTGTGTACATGTAATCTTATCAATCTGTAGCAGTGTTGGAAATGGGCTTACAGAAAAAGCTACGGCTACTGACATTGGGTATTTCCAGCGCAGCGAAGACCTAGACAGCTATTGCTCTGCGCAAAGGATTCGAATACAGCACTAGATTGTGCCTAACCTATCGCCTAACATAGCCCCTGGTTCCCGTGGGCAGTGCACCAGCAATGTATATTTAATTGTTGTATTGGAAACCAGCCAACCATCCTGTCAACTCGGCTCATGCGGGCATGTGATATGGATATGGAATACCGTACGTCATATGCCTGTTTACAATAGGTATTCCTACTGTTATCCAACATTTATGTGTCATAAAACGTTAAAGTTTCCTGAGAAGGATGGAGAAATTCCACCTGAAATTTAAAGAGTGCAGCAAAAAGTGGAACTTCATTGTAAAATCAGGTTGCACTGAAAAATTTGCATTCTGCAACATGTGTTGGTGCGACATTAACATTGCCCATGGCGGAGTCTAAGCACAGTGAAACAAAAAAACAGGTTGGCACAGTGCGCTGCTGACCTCTTTTCAATAGGGGCCAGATTAGCATGCAGCGGTGCTGTGTGGCTTATCGCTGCAGTGGTTGAGCGCGTTTGTCCTGGTGGTAATCCGCTCGCTTTAAGTGCCCCAAACCGTGGTATATTGTTTCAAAACAAGGCTGGATTGTCTCCACTATTGAGAGTGAAAATATGTCGGTAATGCCCAGCAGCCTGGCCTTTTGTTCCGAGTACAGTCTTTCGTTACAAGGCCCAGTTCCCTTTGTCCCATTACGGATTCCCCGGCTATGTGTATAAAGCCTACGTGCTCGAAAACAGGTCCCCCGGCAGCAAGTGGTTGACAGGTATGTATACACATGTACATGTATGCTAATTGTTCTGATACATGTAAATGTACATAAACATGTATAAGTTTTTGCCTGAGGTGCGTGGCTCATGGCAGATTACTCTTTTTCAAGTTGCAGTGTTGGCATCTTTGGAGATGTAAAGCAAGGGGAACATGTGTTGCACATCCCCGTTCTTGGAGACAGAAATGGCTGTGCACATGAACTTTAGAGAGCACTTCAAGTACATGTACATGTTAAAACACAGGAGAAAAATGTGTGGTCCAATGAACTTGGGCGAAAAACTACATGCATGCACCTGCTGTAGCCATCAATGAAAGTTTTGGATCTCGCTGGATGGTTGCAGTTAAATTTGTCATTAATGAAATTGTGTACGCGTAAACACTCAGCTATGCTCTTAAAGCAGTTCAAAAGTTGCAAAGCAAACTCTTTTTATATTGGCCCCTACACTCAAATTCCATTATCCCCCAGGCTCGGGAGCTGGTCCAGGCAAGACTGGAAACAAGGGGTCAGTTCTATTGGAAAGCATTTCTTTTTCTGTGCTTTGTGACTTGATCATTTCAGGCTCAGAGATTGTATGATGTGCTGCATGAGCCCTTCTTGAAGACAGCCAAAGATACATGGAAGACTGCAGCCGTGGAGACCACAGCGGAGGCATCAGCAGAAGACAGCATGCCAACAACATCAAAACCAGGTTGACGATGGAAACCAGCTGATTGTAAATAAAGTTATGCCCCTTGAAGTATATTGTACAGTTTTCACCACAAACAGTTCATTTGAGACCAAGGTAGGCTTCTCACCATGAAATAAACCATGCGTGGGGGTGGGGCATCTTCTCATCAGTATGGGGGTACTTTGACATCAAAGTCTGTTGGGCCCTTGCTGCCCTTCATAATGACTTTTGACAATACAAAGCAAAAAAGATCAACTGTCATGATGTTCTTCCATTTTATTTGTCTGGATGAAAATTTACAAACGAACGGTCGGGTTTTCCTTTCAAGCAATTTGAATTTATTGTCCTACACAGTTTTTGCAGAATCAATTTCAGTAATTTCCTCATGGATATCTAACTTTAATATGGAATTTGGTTTTATTAAAAAACTTTCACAGTGAAACTGGCAAATACATCATTCGTGGAAAAAAAACCACTGACTCTGTCATTCTGTCCACAAAAAGATTGTCTGTCTTAAGTTACACGTATATGAATATTTTCCAATGATTCCTGTAATCTTTCAGTTGCCTCCGACAACTCGCTTTTGACACCATGTGAACAAGAAGATGCGCTTCCAAGATCAGTTGTCCCGCTGCTGGAAACATTCTCCCGGGAGTATTCAGTTCTAACATGTAGTTGTCCATCCTGGCTATCTATTTGGGCTTGGTCAAACTCAGGAGCATGTGTGATCTCCCTCCGCATGTAGGCACTGCAGGGATGGTGTCTGTCACTAGTGTTGCTGACCGGCAAGTTCCTCTCAACAGAAAAGTCTCTGTGACTATCTCTTTGCGTCTTTTTATCTATGCCACCTGATGACGAAGCCCCAGCTCGATTTATCACCCCTTCCAACTCTCCCCTCTCATTTTTGTCTTTGTCTGCCTCATCCTTACTGTCACTGTCATTGTCAGCGTCTCTCGTCTCGGCCGCCCCTCCCGTGGCCTCCCCTCTCTGCAACTCATCATCTTCCTCCTCGTCGTTTTCATCCTCATCCTCGCTGTCGTCGTCGTCCGATTCAGGTGTGGAATACTGCGGCTGGCGGTTCAAGTTGCACGTCTCTTGCTCCATGTCAATGTCCATCAAATCTGGAGGGAACAATATTGACCAACAAAGAAATGTTTTTCCAAAACATTGACCAGTGCAAAATTGCCTTGCCTGAATGCAGTGTCGTTGCCAGCAGTCTTGAGGTTGCCTTGATGCTAAAACTAATACTGTTGTGAGACTGCTTTTGTGAAGGATAAAGTTGGACCTGCCCCGGAATTAAATTAATGACAAGACATACATGTAGCAAAAACCCAGTTAGCCAGAATGGCTTAGTATCTGCCCTAAAGACGGTTTAGTACTTGTACACATACATAGTGTACTTTGGCCATATTGATACATACATGTAGGATCAGAGCTTAGCCATATTGCATATGGCAGAAAAGACAGTCGTGGGACTTAAAGTTATCATCAAGTCAGGGTTTCTCTGGTAGTTTTTACATTTTTGCCACGTCTCTTAAAATGTTGACTGCCGCGCATAATCTCACGGGGCGTTCCCATTTGGCAAGTGTTGTACGCATGCGCACATATTTTTTAGGTGTTTATTTGAACATGAGCATTTTCCAGATGTTCATGTATGTCCTCAACGCTGCCAGCAGTGTATTCGTTGTATTCTCAGTGATGCCAGTGTATTCAACTTACATTGCATTTGCATAAGCCTTTCATTTCCTTTGAGTATGTATACTTGTGGCAGAATCCGGTACACCTGTTACTATGAGTATACTTGTAGTCGGCAGTCAGCGTGTTAAACACCTTACAGCCTGTTCTTCAGGCCATAACTGAATTGAGATTTTAGTCTGTCCATTTTTGACTGCAAAGGGGAATAACAACTATGTGAGAAAATGTAGAGTGTTCTACTGTTTTGGTTCAAACTACAGCTTGCTCACCTTTTCACAAGTATAAAAAAATCATGTATGTATAAGTGTTGAAACACTTACACTGGTTTAAAACCACAGGGGAAACACGGGTGACCCCCATTACTGGGTTTTGTGCCTGATGCCATCCGCTATTGAGTCACTGCAGTGTGTTCAGTTTTGGCACATTTATGAGAGTTCACAGGAAAAAAAATGGGTTCTAAGAGTTGGGTTCCATGGTGCCACTTCAAAGCAGTGTGCAATACACATGTACTCTGTAGGTTTAACCTGAACAGTCCTCAATCCTCCAATTTCAACATGATTTTTACATACACCCTATTATGGGGTTACGGTTGAGACAGTCATCTTTGTGCATGTATGTATTATCTAGAGTGAATTACAGTGAAATGTTTGGGATAAAACTTGTCTATAACCCCAGTCTACGTGTACAGATTGGCATGAAATGCAAACAGCAGGAAATATGAAAAGTGCCTTCTACCAAGAGGCAGCTACAGTATCTACATGAAAGCATGTATGCCGTACTCCATGTTAACCCAGATGGCACTTCTAGGCCACCGTACATGCGTAACTTCAAGCAAATGAGATGTGAGGTTTTGGCGCTTTACAGAATAAGAAAACCAAAGCTACACGTACATTCACGCCTTTGTAATCTGATTCGATCCTCCATTTCTACACGGGTAAAATTAGTCACCTCGAGTAACAAGGCATGTCCTGATTTTTGTACTTGAGGAAAGTGCACGTCTGGGGTGCATGTCATGCTAAGTTGAGTTAGCATTTGCACACAGCTGCAAACATAAACAGCTACACTCATTTCTGGTGCATATCATCACCGGTTTCATGAAGAGGCGAATTTCTCACCACAGAGTAAAAGCCAGGTTTCGAGGAAATCGTATTTGAAGTTGGTCTCTTTTTCAAACATTTATTTCCTCAGTATTTGGCGCGCCTTTGACTCAACCAATGCGACTTCACTGTCCTTGAACTTGAGGAAAGGACCAGCTATCACATTGACATCAATCTTACGGGACGTACATTCAACGACTTCCTGAGTGAATCACATGTCGGCATCATGTGTATTTGCCACAGGGATATTTTTAGTCATGGGGCAACAATGCATATTCAAAGCAAGTTAAGGGCACTAAATAGTAAGACTCTTTGCAACTTTAAAGCATGGCCAACCCAGTGAAGTTGAAGTGGTAATATACAGTCCAATTCAAGGAATCAGTCTTGCGGAATTCCTAAACAGATGCTTGAGTGGTACATGAACGATAGGCAGTGTTGTAGTAGAGACCACTTCAATAAGACCTTCACAAGACCAGCACAAGATCAATACTAGACTTCCAGTCTGAATCCCAGTCAAAAGCTATTCAAATGAACTTAAACCAATTTATTCCTTTGTTATTGTTCGCACTGTTAATTGTGGCTGGTTTTGTGACTGGTCTTGTGTCGGTCTCGACTACAACACTGACGATAGGAGATTAATGTTGTACGTTTTCAGGGTTCTTCGGAGAGAGTCTCAAAAACCCCATCAGCCTGATCTGAAACCATTTAAAAGATTGTTAAGAGTTATCAGGTTCATCTAAAGCAGCTGAATGTGGTTTTTATTTTCTAAGACTGTAGCCAATGCCTCAATACATGTATCTGTGCATCTGTACCTGTTATTTTTCTGTATGTAAGAAAAAAGCTCTGGCACAAATTTTGTGTTTGTAGGGAATCCAATCTGAAAGTCTGCCAAAGCATGCATTTCAAATGAACACTACTTACACTTCGTCAATTATTATCAGCCCAAGTCCACAGGATTTCAGATTCCTCGGAAACGTACGCATCTTGTAGATAGTGTGGACTAAAGATAACAAGATGGACTTAGCTGTCCAGTGTGCCCCTTTGAGGTTAATAATCTGCACTAATGAATAGTTCCGGCAATGAGGTGCCTACAGTGGCCAGTGTGATTCAGTGGTGAAGGTTGTCACACTTGTGGGGCCACTGTTAAAGGTACCATGTGGCCCATGGGGGGGCTGCAGTCACGCTTGCCAAAGTACACGGGCCACCTCCACACCCCACAAGACTGTTTTGGGGTTTCGGACAACAGATTTACCTCAAGGAACACCATGGAGTGATTTTTTTTTACTGCATGGCGCACAGAGCTGTTCAAGATATAGCGGTAAGGAAAATACATGTACTTGATATTTACATGCAAGTTCTTGGTTTACACACAGGTTCCAATCTGGTTTTTGGAAAAATTTCTTACTTTGAAAACATTTTTTATTCAAAGACAGGTAGGTCTGAGCTTAGTATGCAGTGCAAATTACAAGTTTTCCTCTCGATATTTGAGTGATTTTTGTTTTCTGTCTTTCAAGGAATGCTCCCAAACATGCTGCCAACTGCTGGTAAACTATCTAGTTGATTTGTGGCTCCAAAATCATCTTTTTCAATAAGAGAAAGTACCTTATAATTTTTATCATATTTTCTCAAAGCCTGTCTCTGTTCCTACTGTTATCTTTTAGGAAGTTACGTTTCTCTCCAAATACTTTCTGTAGATCAACGATTTACTGTAAACTCAAATCGCATATTTTGAGCTGTTGTGTTCAGTACATATACATGTACTTTGAAGTTTGAGCTGGGTTTTATATACAGGTTCAAAGTTGTGTTCCAGCTCAAGTTTGTTTATTGTTGCTCTTGAGCTTAATCCTTGAGATCAAGGGCTTTTCCCTTGAATTATTCATACTAATGAAGAAAATTGCCTTCTGAATTTCACAGAGGGATTTTTGAACTAAAGATGAGGTAGTTTACTCTAAATGACGGTTAGGCAACTGAAAAGAATCCCTCAAATCCAGCTGAATGAATTTTGAAAAGCCCTTTGCCAGTTACAGAGAAATTTCAATATTTTCAAGTGTCCAACCACAACAATACATGGCTTTCACTCCATCAAAAACTCCCTCTTCCGGCTTTGAAATGAGAGTCTTTGTAGTCACCTGTATTTGATCTTAGTGCGTCTTCCTGCGCAAGTCTCTCCATCCAGGCCTGCTGCGCTTCCACCACCTCGGCGCCGTTCTTGCAGGCCGCGTAGCTCTCCAAGACGTCTCGGTTCAGCCGGTAGAATCCTGGTCCCCACTTGAACCTCTTCAAGAGCTGCATACCATACTCAGGGAGACCTGACAAAGATGGGGCACAAATGCGGCCATTTCAATCTTAAGCAAGAGTTCAAATTGTAGAAGACGCTACTGCAGTGGCATGGATGGCACCACAGAGGTGGTCATTCATAAACTTGTGCACCACAAGTTTGCTCATGACTGGGAGCAGCAAAATACTATTTGTTGAAGGTGTTCCACACACACACACCATATCAACCAAGCTTGAGAGAGTTGTTACTGAAGTAACGGCTTCTTATTCAGGTCTTCAGATTAAAGATTGAAATGGTTTATTTACTGTGCAGCGTGAAGTTGGGCTGAACAATACTTCCTTCTAGAGTGGAAGAGAACTTAGAGAAGTGAACTTGTGACTGATCTTATGAAATGAGTATTTTGTGTGTGTACAGTTTTCCACCCACTTTTTTCTAGTAAAGGTATCAGCAAGAATATTTGTGTCCTCAGCTCTTCATTTTGACATCTGAATCAGTTTGATACCTTACTGATTACGTACTGCTTCTAATGATGCCTACAGATTTGTTGAAAGGCCTGTGGTGATTACTCAGAGTTCTGATGACAGTTTGTGATTTTTATTGAGTTGGGCTGGGTCACATTTCATGACATCAAAAAGTACAGTCCCATTGTGATGACAACTGACTGTTGTCCTAACAAATTAGTGTCACTCTATGAATTGGTGACAGGTGTAAGTATATGCCCCAAACGCCCTGCCTCAAACAAGACACTGGAGAATAACGGGGTTGTAAGTGGACACTTAAAATTAAAGCTGAAAACAGCAAGCAAAAAGCTGAAATGTAAAAAGTTCCCATACTTTTTATACAGACTAGGTGTACAAAAAAGCTGAAATTCAGGGTCAACATCTAAGCAAGAAAGTTGTGAAAATTTCTGACCATGAGCTCTAAGAGAAGCCAGCCAGCAAGCACACTCAAAGTTTTCAAAAAAATGGAAAATGTTTGCCGGAAAGTGAGAAAGCCAAATGCCTCACCAACAATGTAAAAGGTTGCAGCAAATGCCTCCACGCAGGAGAGTTTACAGGGCCTTCCGTAGTTGATGGGGTTCGCTGCCACCAAGTAGGGGAGAAGCCGGGGCTGACCACCCTTCATCTTGTCAAAGGGCGTCTGCTCCAGCATGGCCCAGGAGCAATCGATTACAGCGATGCCTTTTGCTTCGACAACGTGTCTATTATTTTTAAAGAACATAAATTTGTACAACAGACACCAAATCGGTTGAAGAGGAGAAAAAAGTAATGGAAAAAGAAACGAAGAATAAGACAACAAAACTTTGGTGGAATTGGGTGCTTCTATTTTCCTTTTCTTTTTTAAAAGTTGTACCGTGCTCATCTCAGTGTTGTATTTGAGTCCATCACAAGTCCTTTCACAAATCACAGGGTGAACAATGACAAAGAAATGTTTTTGTCACAGCTCACTTGAATAGCTTGTGAATTGGCTTAAGACTGAATGACTTGTGATGGACTTGTGATGGACTTACAGGGACTTGTGATGGACTTGTGATGGACTGGAATACAACACTGGCTCATTTATAATCCATTTATTGGATTCTTCACAGCTTATGAATCAGAAAAGAAAACCAGGGTACACATGTGTTTGACAGCTAAGAATTTCTGCTCCATATACATGTATATATCTGACACCCACGTGTAAGGAATATTTTCATATGACTGACTTTCTTATTAAGAAAATATTAACCAAGTTGAGTTAACTTCTCTCTCATAGCAGTTATCATCTAACAAAGATACCATATCTCGGACAATCACACAAGGATTATGTCCACCAATGTAAATTTCTCAGGAAACTGTGCGTACAATTCATTTTCAACGGTGACCAACATCAGGAGCTGTGTCATAACAACCTAACATTGAGGGATTTAATACTCCACATCCTTTGTGCAAGTAGCTGTCTTAAAAGCTTTCCCATGTTATGTAAATGAATTAAATGAGCCTCAGTGCACCTGTCCTGAGGGGAGACACAGTGGGTGCCCAGTGGCGACAGGATGATCCCATTAAAGCGTTGGGCAAGCCGTAGGGTCCTGATCAGCCCCTTGCGGGCCAGCTTCCGGCCGGTGCACTTCTTGGGATCACAGTGCTGCAGGTCCCACATGGCCAGCGGGCAGGGAATCCGCCAGGGGTCTTCCTCCTCTGCCGCTGGCTGGGACTGGCTCTCTGGATCTTCTGCAGGATTATAGAGAGATCATCAGTCTCCTCGACCTTTCCTGAAAAATCTTCCGAACCATATCCCAACTTCTGTCCATCACATGATGTACATCATGTATAAGCCAACTTGGATTATGATACACACTCATTGTATGCGTAAGATCCTGTAACCAACCAAATATTTCAAGAAAGAATTCTGAAAATTTTTCCAATGATGAGCACTCAGATAAGCAAATATTAAGTCAAGTGACAAGACGAGCAAATACATGTAGGCCTTATATCATTTTTATATTTACTTTCATTTAAGAATATCTCATACAGTAAGTTTATTAATGTTAACCATTTAATTGGGCTTCTTGGGTACAAGTGGTCTATCTGTGTACATACAGCAACTAAAAGTTTTGCTCATTTTGGTCAGTCTCATGGTGCTTTCTGTTTATCTCCGCTATCGGCTAATAATCACCTTTTCTTTCTAATTTCTTAGAGGCCTACATAGTTGTGGGAAATTTTCTTGAAAACATGGAAAAGGGGAAGTTAAATATTTCCAACATGATGCAAGCATGATCGTTTGATCACAAAACTAACAAAGATCGACTGATTGTTCCAAACACTTGTGCAAACAGAAACAGAATGGGGGACATATACATGTACACTTGCTAACCTTTTTCATAATCCCTTGCGTATCTTTCAAATTTGTGGACATGGCGTTTACTTTTGCCTCCTGAACCAACTGCATGGCTCTTTGTTCCCTTCCCTCGATTCTTTACCATTCTTCCTGGAACCAAAATAATACAGTCCACTTTCAATACACATCTGTATAAAGAACACCGTTAAAACAAAATACTGTCACAAAAACAAATTCTGCAAATCCCAATTCATAGAATTCTGATATTTTCCTTTGTAGGCCATGTATCATGCCTATATTTCTACTCCTTTTACAACAGAGTTCTGTAATTTGTCATGTTTGTCTTGTCCCAGCAACCTTGTTATCTAGAATGAGAGTTGACCAAGTTGACGGTATTCCCCCAAATTTGACCACGCCCCTACATGTATGTACCTCAACGCTCGCACGATGCAAAACCAATGAGTCACGAACAGTGATGAGTACCACTATACCAACCATGCTAGTGTAGCAGGGCTACTTTATTTCACTTGTTTTCCTCAACAGATTTGACATCTTCAGGTTTATAGGAGTGGTTCCCCACATTTTCTGCTTTAACGTGACAGATGAAGTGCCACATTTAGATGAATTGTGTCAAGTGTAAGACACATTGACTTGGATAATGTTGAGACATTTCCCACAGACATTGGTCAACAATAGTTGGGCCAGCCCAACAGCAGCACTACAGTTGGGACCGTCCCAACTATAGTTGGGACTTATGCTATAGTTGGGGCATAACACTATCACTCAGAAAGGTCTATTGTCATATTGTGGACTTTTAAAGCAACTTGTAACATGTGGTTACCAGGTAATTTAAAGTAAAATATTCCCCATTACTCGCATAGGCCTACCCGGTACATGTACACACAATTGCAAAGCACAAACCTCACCGCTGGGCAGCTGTGCCAATATGCATGGGCGCTGGCCAACTATACATGTAAATGTAATAGTCCCCTGAAAAGGCATTCTTTGATGTTTATTTGGATTTCCTCACACAGCATTGCCAAACTTCTTTCTTGGAAACCTTAAAACTCATTTGCTTATAAACTGGTACCCTTACGTAACTTCGTGATACAAGTGTTACACCTTTATGGACACTTTAAAAATACTGGAAACTTACATTGTATACAACCCAACAGGCTAAAACAGTCGTAGAGAATCTCAGTGTAATGAAATTTTGTTCGAAATCCAAACAGAGCCAAGTCTTCCCTAAACCTAACGTGACGCACTTAAAAAAGGTTGTAGAAAATCCCCGGTAAAAATTTCATTTCAAGTTGACAAATTCTCGTAAAGCATCATTACTGCCACTCAAATATCCATCCACAAGTTTGTCAGAAAATTCTTTTCCTAGTTTCAGGCACATTTTAAAAGACTTTGTTTTTTTAAAACACTAGTTTTGAAAACTAGGTTGGAAAATCAGGCAAAAAATAAAATTTCATTCAAACTTTGTAGGCCTAGGGCTAGCCTGCTAGCAAGTATACATGACATGTAGGCCTAGGCCTAAGTAAAATCGAGATTTGAATTTTTGTATGAAGTTTCTTGAAATTTTTAATTGTGAAATTTGAGCTTAAAATATTGCTCCATACTGTGGGGTCCGACGTAACGGGGCAGACGTCGGACATGTCGGACCCCACACTTTTCTGGGCATGTGGGGTAGGCCTACGCTACTGCCATGACCTGATGACTGCCTGACATGCATGACATGCCTGACTGCCATGCCTGCCAGTGCCACGTTCTGCCTGAGTCCTGACGTTAGCTGATTATGCTGGTTAGCCATGGCCAAACGAAGCATATCATTCGTACTTTGGGTAGGCCTAGGCCCTAGTTGAGCTGTTCTTGAAAACAATATGAAAAAAGGGTACTTTTCATGGTCTTACACTGATACTTTCCAACTCTGGACACTCGGAAGTCAGATTACGTTATGGGCGCCGCCATGTTACTTTCCGTGGCATTGTGGGGAATTCACGGGAAATCACAGGAGAAATAACGCGCGTTGAGCCATAATCTCGTGACTGACACAGTAGAGGCTACTGCGAATCACTTGGCTACGGCCGGTAACCATCTGATCATGCACAAGTTTACGGATAATTGCTACAGCCGCTTGGGAACGTCTTCCGTAGCTGCACACGTTACATCCAGCCGTAGCCTAGTCCAGTCAATTGCGAAGAAACGTTAAACCCAGTGTACATTGTACATACAGGCTGCACAAAACGACAATGGCACCGCCGCCCCCTCCAGCTCCGCCACCTCCCCCAACAGGGGATTTAGATGATTTTTTGACAAATGGCCTCGATGGACAACCTCAAAATGAAGGGGTGAGAAACTTAGGTTTCTAATGATTAGGGACCTATGCCTAACGTTACCTCCCGAACCCAGCAGCCACATTCATTGACCATGTTGACACTGACAGGCATGACAGGGGAATGATCATGCATCCATTTTGTGCATGGACGGTGATGGTGCTCATTATGCTGGCTGTTGGCAATGGATTGTGGCGCAGCAGTTTTCTGAATCTGTTCATCAATAATAATTCTTTTTCATGTTTCATGTGCGCAAGCTTAGAATAGAAGACTTAACAGAGGAGAACAAATTCATGACAATAACGTTGCGTAACGTTTGCCGAATGGATGCCCATGATCGTTTTAAGAATTTGTTCCCCTCGAGCTTTGTTCACTTACTCGCGTGGGGCGCTAAAATCAACATGGCAACAGAATGGGAAATTGGCTTATTACCGCAATATCATCAAACTGTATGTTAGCATGTGTTAACCACGTTGACAGATGATGTGGGTGAACGCAAATTAGACGACTTGCACCAGTTTAAACTTAACGCCATGAGAATGAACATCCCAGATTTCTGTCTGGACAATTTCGAAAACCCATGAGGCTTTTTTTTATTATTCATTAGTTGATGTACATGTACATTCTGCACATCGATGTGTGTCCATGTAACATGTGTAAAGGGAACCAACCTTGAAAGTAGATTACATGTACATGTACATGTAGCTCTCAGTCCATCTTGCATCACCATTAAATACCATTTAAGGTATTGGTAAAAGTCTGAGTTTGCCAGAGGTAGTCTGAGATAGTGGGAGGTACATGTACATGTAGTTGGAGGTTGCCTGAGGTAGGCCTAACATTTTACTAAAGTTTTGGTCAATAATTAAAAAGAAAAACAATGATTTCTTGTTGTGGCATTCATTAAAGACATCTTGTAATTTTTGAATAATTTTTCAAGTAAGCTTAGCTACTTGTACTTAATTAACCTTCAACCAATATTCATGCGCTGAAATCAAGTGTACCATTTCTTCTTATAGCACTTTGACTTTTACTAATTTTTGGATATAAACTTTTCAATTATTGCATTATGGAGGCGTGTTTCAAGCTGATTCAAATGAAAAATGATAGAAATCGTAAACGATTCAAAAAGTAAAATTATTCATTAAAAAATTTAAAAGGAATAGAAATTTTCAAGTATTACTTGTCTATTTTCAAGATGTATTTTTTTTGC